GTGTTCTTACCTTTCAACAAGGATTTTATTATTCAACCAGGGTTCTTTTTATTCAGCCAAGGCTTTTACTCCTCAGTTAGTGCTCCGAGTATTCAGTTAGGATTTTCATTTCATTCAGATGATTTAAAAGAGAAATTGTTTAAAATTGATGTAGAATTGGTGTGTATAACCTTAAAGAAAATAGAAACAAGGGCTACAGCAGCTTGAAATCTTGAATTTAGAGATATTGCTTTTTTATTTTCATATATAGTTTTTTTTATTAATCTATTTTTTCAAATGTGAATGGCAGTTCAATGAAAATACAAATACAAGTGCTTCTATTTTTTCTTTAAACAAAGTTTATCATGTGTCTGAGATCTGTCTCAAGGCTCAAAATAGAATATGCACTACTTCTTTCAATTTTTTTCTTTGCTAAATTGTTCTTTGCATTTATAGCTTTCAATCAGAACTAAAGGGAGTTTTAGAGGGGCAAACTGTCATGTTAATTATAAATTCTGTTATTGCAATTTATAGTTGAGTATTCAATATTAGTATTTTATGAGATCTTTGGTTTACATGGTATACTTAATGGTATAGATACACTGCTAAAAGAGTAAGTATATTTATGATGTATTATTTTATATTCTTATCTCGTGAACAGTCCATTTATAATCTTGGATTACTGTCGTCTCAGTGATAATATTTGTTTCTACTAATTTTTGTTATATTTTTGTGGGTTTTTGAAGATAAATATATCATTCCTTGTCATGTATATTTTCTAAAAAATTTTGAAGTGCATACTTTATTTTAGAAAATTCAGAAGATTTTTACAATAATGTATTATTTGTATATTAATATGATTACCATTTTTATTATTTGGGAGAATTATTTTTCACCCATTTTTGCACTTTGAATCCTTAATGACTTCACCAAGTTATAATATATCTTGAATCTTCATTGATATTGATGTATGTCTGTTGATTAACCCATGAAAACATATTCAACCGATTGATAAATACACAAGGAAAACATTGAGATGACATCCGTTCATATGTCTGGGTAATAACTCAAATACCTGTTGACGTATTTCATTCAAATTTTATAGGCTAATGCCTTATGGGTGTAGGACCTCTGCAACAAAGATGACAGTTGAATTTCAAAATGGCAACCATGTTTCATGAAAACATAATAGTACAATAACATCATTTCTAAGGGCAATATAGTAAAATATTGGACCGAGGGCCTAAGGCCCAAGGTCCAATATTTCACTTTATTATGCACCTCATTAAAATACTCAAATCTGATTGGTTCTTAGTTGCTTGTAATTTGGCAATACTCTGCTCTTTTCTGAAAACTGCCGGATATTTTTTTAATATCTGACCCTTTCGAGAAAAAGGGTCGGATATTTTTTTCAATGTTTTTGCAACATTCCCACTTCAGAGTTTTATTTCTTAATAACTGGAGTACTACTTAAAGCTTACATCTGAAACTGGCGGAAAATAGAAGAAAAAAATGTACTTAATCAATCACAATTACCCTTATCATTCAAAAGTTACATATAATTCTGCAAGAACGTCTCGAATAAATAAAAATTAAATTCCCGGGGCAAATATTTTCGTTCAGTGTAGCGAATAAACTGGCCGGAAGTTGTCTGAGTTTTGAAAGAAAAAATAAATAAATGTCAAAATAATGTCAACTAAACGACGGAAACGGAAACGAAACGGCTGCCGCCTCGCCCAATATTTTTTCTCGAATAGGTATTCTGCCATATCCAGCTCCTGATCATCCAGTATTTGTTTAAAATTGCTCGCAAAAATGATGTTATTATTAGTATTATTACCACCGTTAACGACCAGGGCTGAAATAGCAAGAAAATCTTACGCACTGAACGATATCTAATTTCCCGGGGAACAATTACCGGTCCAGAATATATTCTAGACCGGTCCATATGGACCACCACTATGACGTCACCCATTTCTCAGGTCGATATAGTAAAATGAACGCCTTCTAAACTAGCACTAAAACCCCTAGAACTGGCCCGGCAAGGTGGTAATAATGTTTAATAATTCAGAATACCAGTGGGTGGATTTGGCTCAAATTTTATATGGCCGCTATTTATCAAAACATGTTTTGTTCAGTGGGATTTGCTACTGGCGTTACTGTTTTTCTAGTTCAGCATTGACGAGATTACTGAAATATAGGACCTGCAGATAAAAAAGTTGATATCATTGAATAGTACACGCAGGCCCTTGGTCCAATATTTCACTATATTGCCCTTTGAAATGACGTTATTACTATTATTACCACCGTTAATGACCAGGGCTGAACTAGTACTAAAACCCCTAGAACAGGCCCTGCAAGGTGGTAATAATATGTAATAATCATGATGCAAAGTCTTTTTTATGTCAAAATATTGATATTACTCTATAAATGAAACATTAAATAGTGCTAACTGCATGCAAAAATGAATGCAAATCAAATCAAGAAATTGCCAAATCATCAAAAATCATTTTGCAGAAATTTCCAGGAGTACAGTATATATTCATGATCAAACACCTGCTCTATACCAACTCAGTATATTTATACATTTATATTGCTATATTGATTGATGAGTTATAGAAATACAATTTTAAAGTCATGATTATTGGAAAAATAATTCTGCATCCATTCTTCAACCTTTTAATCATCTGTCCATCAATAACCATGGGACAAATGAACATTTATTATTTTATTGGGAACTATACTCTTGTAGTTTGCATCATAGGTCCCATATCTAATGTTGGCCTCTTCTTTTCTGGAGAAGTGTCACATCTTTTTCAATATACAAGTCTGCATCATGTATACAGTTTCCAAATTAGCTAATATATGTTGCAATTTTGATAATGTGAAGTTACAGTGTGAGTTTCACTTTGCCAGCTTTTAGTTTCTGTTAGTTTCTTTATAAATTTTGCAAAATGTTGGACTTGGAATTTTAGCCTAAAGTTTGCAATGTTTATCAATTTTATGATGAGCTCATGAACTATTGAATTACTCCTATATATAAAGTGGTGAGAGTCAATAAAACAGTTTATTGATGTATTGATTAACACAAATATCTAGTGTTTTGATCATATTGTTGCTATGTTCTTTAGATAATCAGCACAATTTCTCCTTATTCATTCTCAATACATGTACATTAATAATATGACTACTTACTGCATCTGCCCCACTATCCCACATATGGCATGCATATAACATGACAGTATTTCATGAATTATTATTACAGGCAGTATAATAATACAGCCAGCATTATAGACATAAGATGTTCATGTATCACATTACATTTGATTTGTTACTATTAAATGCTGTGTTGAATATATAAGTAACAGAAGCTGACATTAGAATCTTCATATATACATACATTTATCTTATTATATGTTATGTTATGTTATATTTTATTTATGTCTCACGCCATTTAAAATACATACAATTATAAAACAATAATATTAAAATCGTCTGGCCCGGCCGGTGTCGACCTATGAGAGACTAGATTCAGTCTGACTATATAAAAGGTTAAATTATCACAGTAGAGTACGTCTTTTTAAAATCATTTTTATAAGTGTTTTGGATAGTGTCCTTTGTAGGCTCTGTGTTGACATAATATTGCAAAATTGTTGAATATGGTTAAGCTGGTGAAAGTCAGGAATTTCCTTAACACAATCTAAAAACAATGGAGTTCTCAGTTCTTCATAACTATTGCACTGTAAAAGAAAATGAAACTCGTCCTCAACAGTAAATTATCACAGTGACATCGGCGATCCTGGAGTGGGGTATTGTTATATCGTCCAGTTTCGATCTTCAATGGGAGTGTTCCACTTCTAAGTTGGGCAATAGCTCTGCGTTCACTCCTTGACATGTTGATACAAGTATAATGGGCGGGCTGCATGGAATGTGTTTTAAACAGTCGATATGTCCGTAATTTGTTGCAGTTTGTTGCCATTATATATTAGATATTGACTTTTGTTTATAACATTGGATATGACACAAAAGAGATGATTTAAAAACATATTAAAAAGTGAAAGAATGTTTACGTAGACAATAAAGTGTGCAAATGGGAATACACCAAAACAAAGATCTGTATAGTTATGAGAATATGTAACTTTTTATTTATTGTACTTCCCAAGAAATTATTTCATGATAAAATACAGATTACAAAAAAAAGATAAAAGGTGGTTTCATAAAGGACCTCAAGTTGTCATGCATTTCGCTTGTGTTTTTCATTTAAAAAACATCAATACACTTTAAAACATTTTATTGACTATAAAATTGCACCATATACTCCTAAAAAATATTTCTCATTTTCAAGGATTATCTATGGATTAACACCCAGGTGTTGTTATTTTTCAAACTTCAAAGGACTGGGAATCATTATTACAATCGCTTTTAAATAATATTAATTCTGTTTTAAATAGGTTTCATGTATGCCAATAATTTCTCAAATTGTGTAAATGGTACCCCTTCCTTAATCCCAAGAATCTTCTCTTTAAGGAATTTCCTATAGTAATCCAATGGTATAGTTCCAAGCAGATTTTGAGATAACAGGAAAGTTAATCACTAATAAACACCTTGTTATTATTGGAGTTTATATCAAAATTAGGTTGAAGGGTATATGATAGTTATAGATATGAAATTTATCTCATCGAAAAACTGCCTTATTAAATAGACACCAATTATAATATGTCCAATATCCCAAAATCACCATATTAAGTTGCGCCAAATCAAAGATGAATACATGCATATGAATTGACTGTACAGTACTAATAATACTGAAAGTTATGTTTCCTGGTGAAATATTATGAACAAACTGTTGGGCTTTAAGAATATGGAGCTGACATAGAATGTTGTTAGAAAAAATATTGTAAAATTGTGACAATATCTTATCTGAACTCCTCTGTGGTCTTTGTTACAGCTTTGGGTGAAGCACTTGGCAATGCTCTGGAGGTTACTGACTGAAACTTGAATTTTTATTAATGTACTTTTAGACAGTAGTATGATGGGAAGTAAATAGAGGAGGACTCACAATGGACCCAAACCATTGGAATAACTACCAGCAAGCATATGGGAGGATACCAACCTCCTCTGTTAATCGCATTGAGATGCCCAGCCTATTAGAACAGACAATCAACCAGGCTCATGCAGGTTTGTTTGGTTGTTTGTTTGTTGATTGTTTTTGATGAGGTTACAAAATAGACCTGTATCACATATTATATGCAATGTAAATTGTATAAGTAGGTTTCAAGCAAATCTTCCTCATGTTTATGATAATTGTAATAATTCAAATGTATTTATAAATCCTGAATGGTGAATATTACATTTATTATATTTATAAATCCTGAATGGTGAATGTTGCAGTATTCTTTGAATAACCATCCATGCGTACCTGTTAGTGTAGTTATTATTATATTATTAGGCCTGGTCCTGATTCTGACCCAAAGGCTTCACTATAATTCTTGTCCTTTTCTGAAGCAGGAACTTTTTTCGGACTGAGCCTGTTTTTAAAAGTGAATTTGGATATCCTTGGACATTAAGAAAATAGAAAATCTTTAAGAAAAGTCTTTTTATCATTCTTTAAAATGCTGTTTTATAGATTTGAATGCTTTATCTGGACGCTCATTACCACCAGTGGCACACTCTATAGTCGGTGCCCGTCTTGCCCCTACCATCAACTATGCAGCCCATCCCCTGGCTATGTCTCAGTATCTCGACACACTCAATCCAGGTCTGAAAAGTGTCGTCAGCAATCAGCAGCCCAACTATGAGCCAGTGTCACCAAGGAATGACAGTCAGAGGTATAACCAACACTTCTCTTTTTGTGAAAATTCTGTACTTTTAACAGACATGGGTCATGTAATTTGAAATGAGGTTTTTGATGGATAGCTTAGTGTGCACATCTGTTCATTTGAACTGGACAGCCATCCTATTGTGAGAGTAATTTCCGCTGATCATGTATTAGATATTTATCTATAAAATCAAATATTTAGAGTATGAAATCTAATAATTCTTATTTTAGTATATATATATATGATACACAAGTACACTTAAAGTGTATTCATATATATGTTACAGCCATTAGATCCTATTGATTAATAGCATGTAAATACGATTGTGTTATATGCAGTTTTTCACAACGCAGATGTAGCAGTTTAAGACAACAAAAGAAACATATGATCACGTTTATCTTCTATAATTACATAAAATTGTATTGGGAAGTAATATTTGTACCAGAAACATACTAAAAGAATAGCTGCAAAGTGAGTGAATTGATAGTTCAGAAACATGTCTCTGTTGAATACTTTTGGGCCTAACTTTGATGTGGCGTGTTTCAGGAGTGTGGGATTGGACACATCAGGAAAGAGCCCTTTGTTTAATACTGACCCACAAACCATGAGGGAATCCACAATGGAGGTTAAGCCATGGAGTGTTACACCCAGTCCTGCCCAGCTCGGTAAGTAATTCAGTTAATGTCAATATTGTTTATGTTCATCATTACAGTGATCTCCCCAGGTTTTATTAGCTCACATGTGTTTGTCTGTTAATTAAAAATGGCACTTTTAAAACCTCAGTGAATAGGATTCCCTTTTTAAGTAATTTTTGTCAATTATCAAGGAGATCACTGCCATGATCTTATTCCTAAAAACTTGGAGCAACTACAGATATTAGCATGAAATGTTCATAGAAAGAATGATTTGTAGAAGAATGTTGTGTTTGGTAGACTTTTCTACCCCGTCTTGGTTTGATGGTTTTTAGCTCACATGCTGAGAAGTGGTAACAGTTGTAACAAGGTTTTTATCCCATCGAACTATAACTACTATAACTCGAAAAATGGTGGAGCGATTTTGTTCATATTTGGTATGTGAATACTATAAGCATGGTACACTGTCTAATGACACTTTTGGTAGGAGGTGGACATTTTGAAAAATGACTGCCATTTGTTTGTAGAAATGCCAACCATGGCGATGCTGTTGTCTAGTTATAGATGGTGTTCGGCATTTGGTGTTTGGTGTTTGGTGGTCAGTGTATGTAACAAATGGCAGGTAGTGAAATGGCATGTAATGCCTTGTTATGTCACCACCAAAAGTGGTGACATATTGTTATGGACTCCGTTTTTTGTGACGGCGGGTTGCGGTTGGTAGTTGGCGTCTGGCGTCCGACATCTGTAAGCAAACTCTAAAAACTTCCAATAACTTAACAAATACTGTTTAGACTGACTTCAAATTTTTTCAGCTTGCTTCAAATTGACCAAAAGTTCTCAGATCTGATTTTTTAGATTGAAGACATGACCTTCAACAACCTTAAAAAGATCAAAAACGATCTTCTTTCTACTTGCTTCAAATTGACCAGTATTTTTTCAAAATCATCTACAAGTTCTCAGAAGTTCAAATCGGACTAAGATTGAACTCATAATATTGTGAGCAAATAGGGGGTGACATTTTGTCATGTTAATGCCATGTGTTACATATTGTTATAGCCACTATTTTTGTTTGTGACTGGAGTTCAATGTTTCTGTACTGAGAGGCAATGCTGTATGTCCTTGGGAATAAGTTCCATATTCCATACCAACCATAAAACTCACATTCATTAAACATGGCCGATACCTGATCCAATATGGAAATTTGCTTTCTTGTCTTTTTTAGCTCACATGGTGAGCTATTTCAATCACTCACTTGTCTGTCTGTCTGTCCGTCTGTCAACAATTGGCCCGTTTTAAAACCTCTGTCAATATGACTCCCGTTTTAAGTTATTTTAGTTCAACATCAATATAGAAAACCCCCCTATGGTTCAAAAGCTTGCCTATTTTCAAAATGGCCACCATTTTTGTCTCACAAAATTCGTTTTTGGACCATTTGCTTTAAAACCTGTGTCGATAGGATTCTTGTTTTAAGTTATTTTTGTTCAACATCAATGCAGAAAACTCCCTTATGACTCCTGGTTCAAAAGCTTGTCTATTTTCAAAATTGTTGCCATTTTTGTCTCGGGAAATTCACTTTTGGCCCATTTCCTAGCTTTACAAATAATTTCAGGTGTCCTGCATTGTAAAAAGCCATGTCAATGTAAAAAGTAGTTGTATGAAATAATTTGGTACAAAAAATCGGCAAAATTGTATCCGTTTTTTTGTGAGCCCAGTACCCACAGTACTATTTATTTTTTGCTTGGTATTGAGAGTGAATCAGATTAACCCATTTTAGAAGATCATATTCATATGTGATGTCTTTATTTGTTCTTGCAGGTTTATTACCAGCAGATGCATTGACTAGTCCCCCATACAGCGGTCTATCTATGGGGTCAGGTACATCTTTGGAGCCTCCCCCCGCTCACAGTGGTTCCCGCCCTTCCCCCATACAGAGAAACAATTATCCTGCTAAACCTGAACCACGGCCTTCATACAAGAACAATCTCAGTAATTTTACGAGCCAACATAATGATCCTTACTTGACAAAGCATGAGAATTATTCCCCGACACCATCTAAGAATGACACTTATGTGAAATCAAGTCCGTATTCATCACTTTTGCCTAATTCAAATAAAAACAGCAGCAATGTTTATACAAACTCATCCCCAGAAAACTATCAGATTAGATCCCCTGAGAACTATCAGATCAAATCTTCAGAGAACTATCCAATCAAAAATGATAGTAGTTTCCGGTTACCAGAAAATTTTATGCCAAAAGCTCAAGAGGTTTATAAGCCTCAGGAAATATATAAAGCATCTGAATTGTACATACGGGAAAACGTGCCTAGAAATAATTTTGAGCCGGAAAATGGTGGAAATAACGCTAGAAACCAAGCAGGGAGTTACAGATCAGAGCCGTTGACCAATAGGATTATGTCTCCAAATTATCAGACCTCACAAGTGGAAAGTACTAATAGCACATCTGATGTATCAAAGCAAAATATTGAACCTTTTATGAGCAGTAATTATGAACCCATCAGCCCCCATAATCACGTTTCAGTCCCATCAAGAAATTATGACACAGTTCGAACAACACATTCAAATCCGATAAGATCCACCAGTTTACCCTTACAGCAGATGTCTTTACAGGAATTAGCAGATGTAAGTTCTATACAGGAGAAAATAAAAAATGGCTGTGGGGTAGGTGTAGGGGGTCAGATTCCGCAACGTCGTCTATCTGATATGATGAATAATATTGTAACAAATAGTCCCTTACAACAACAGCAGCAATCCCCGATGCCTGTCCCCAGTCCCCAGATGTCTCAGATGTCTAGTCCGTCACCTTTGCATTCCACGACCCCCGCGAGCCCCCTAGTGCAAGAACCGGTGAAACAACAGCAGCAGAAGCGGCAACGATCGCGTAAGAAGAAAACGAAGGAAAGTGGGCCACCTACTGCAGTGATCCAGCCCTCTGTGTTCCAGCCTGAGCCAAACTCTCCTCTGATTCAAGCCCCAAGTTCTAGCATGTATGAACCAAATAGTACCAACACGCAGCCTCCGATGAATTCATTTGGGTTTGTACAACCTTCCCCAATCAGCCAATTCCAGCAGTCCATCTCTGATCCAACCTATCAGGGTATACCCCCAATAACTTCTTTCTCATCAGATTCCATCGTTATGTCAGGAGCAGTGACCCCCTTTGGGACCCCCGTAGAGTTAATACAGGAAGGTGAGGCAACATTTAGTTCATACAGCCAGTTTGTTGGAAACCCCAATGATGTTTTGGGAACCTCAGTAATCGAGACTCAAGAGGCACCTTCAGGGTCAATGATGAATATGGACAACTCATTGATGTCTGCTTGGCAGAAGGTGAACAGCAAGAAAAATACAAGGAATCAGCATGAAAATTCATATATCCCTGAACCAGAAATAGATGAAGAATTTGCTCATTTAACAAAAGATCCTGAAAAGGAAGCAGAGAATAAAAAGGCTGTTAAAAATAGGTGGCAGGGTTTGGTCTTGAAAAACACTTATCCCGAGTCTCAAACATCATATAACCCCTGTAATAATGGCCACCCTCAAAATTCTGGTGACCCTCATAATCCTGGTAATATAAATATTCCTCCACATGAAGAACTGAAAAAATCCAAACCTGCTGTTGATCCAGGTTTTCAATCCTCTTTCCTGAACTTCCTCGGTGGTAAGAAACCTGAGACCTTGTCCAGTGCCTCAACTAACCCAACTAACAGTAAACCAGTATTGCCGAAATATATTCCTGAACTCTCTAATAGACCATTGAGGACCACACCTCTACCTGATACCTCCAAACCAAAGCCTCCAAAAGCCACACCAGGCGATGCAAATAACTTAAAATTGAAAAAGGGCCCACCATTTCCAACTCAGGACAATAATAAAGGGTTGATTGTGCAAGAGAGGAAGCCTCAAAAAATGGTTGTTTCTGATAGAAGACCATCAAATAGTAAAATACTTAGCAATAAGGCTAAAAAAATGAGAACACCTTCAGTGACATTCTCCGACAGTGACAATGATGATGGAAATTCAAATGCCAAATCATTCGTAAAAAATGTGATATCTGATCTAGATGACCAATTCAAAGAGGCCTCTGTTATATCTAAAGGGGCCACTAAAATCACAATAAAAATGAACCGACAACTAAGTAAACCCAGTGATTCTGATGATTTTAGTGAAACAATCGAATATAAACCACCAAGGCCGAAAAAGTCGAAAAAGAAGAAAAAACGGAGGGTGAGTTCTGAAGAGGAGGAACTGGAAATGGAGCTTAGACCCGACACTCCTATGAGTGAGACTCTTAATGATGACTATGAGGATAGTTTGCATGATGTGGATGATGACCTACCTGCAATAGCAGTCAGACCAAGGTCTAAACGAAAAGCTGCTGAGCAAGCAAAATTAATAAGTAAGTTCGATACTTTCCACTCTTGGGGTTGGTTTTAAATACAGAGGGTAAATGCGCTAGTGGATATTATTATCTATTCCAAATAGGAACAGTGATCCACTGAATCTGTTAATAATTCAAGTGTACTTGAACTAGTTTTATGTCTGCCAGGTGATAGCCCACATAACTTTATGTATGGTTTTGTGAGTAATTTAAAGCTTGAGGTTCTTGTATGATGGTTTATAACCTTGACGACTGGAAGCCTTGCTTAGCATAGTATATGGGACAAATGCAACATACATTAAGCACATGGCTAATCATTAAAGTGTGTGAAAAAGTATAAATACTGCACAATTGTCTATGCATTGACAAACTATAAAAAGAAAATCCCCCTGACTAGCATCATAGTTAAGTCAGGAAGGTGTTGATATAGGAATGCCGTGTGTTGATATCGGTGAATACCTGTAGCACTTTCACAAGGTGATATTCCACTTGCCCTTCGGGCTTCGTGGAATATCACTTGTGAAAGATGTACAGGTATTCACCTCAATAGAGTGAAATATTTGTTTTATTATATCACTGTCTAGCTAAACATCCCTAATATTATTAAGTCATAGGTTAACATTGAAATATATATGTTTTTACGAATCTACTCGGTTCGTCTGCCATTTTGACTTACACTGAACTAAATTATTTACACTGAACAAAAACAAATTCTTTGAAAATTCCCGGGAGCGTGGGATATCGCTAGATATCTCACGGTTGTCTTATCTGATTAGCATTGCCATTGAATATCGCCAGATATCCCAGGACATGTGACCCGGTTTTGACCAATCATACTGTCGCTAGCTAGATAGTGATATAATAATGAATGTTACCACATAAATCATCATTGAAATGCAAATGGCTATCAGCAATACTGAAGATGCTTAAAATCAATGTATTCCTGTACATGTATATTAAGGGAATGGACCAATTTGAATGTGTTAAGAATATGCCATCAGTTACCCCAAAGAAGAAGTGAAAAGCTTATTATATCAAGTAACGCTGTGTGGTGTAATAACCCAGATGCGAGTAGAAATAATCTTGATTTACGTCATTAATTAAAAATTCAGTCAAAGTAATATCATATTTGAAATCTACATGTAAAACTACATCTAGAAATGTGGTTTTAAAAAGTGTTTATCAACTTTGAAAAATTAATTTTCTTTGAAAATGTGACTTCTAGCTCGGGGAGATTCCCCATAGACCCCATTCTATAAAATCACAAAAAATGAAATATCTTTTCTTTTAGTGGACAGATAACATTTTGCTTTACTGGACATATTTTCATTAGTATAAGTATCAGACACATAAGGGTTATATGAAAATTGAGCCACTTAAATTGATAATATTCAAGTTTAAGGGAACTTTCTTATATACCTGCCATGTTAATTGACCCGAATCAGCCACCTGGTGGTGAAACTGGTAACTACTTACTCGCATTTGGGTAATTGAAGGCCTGTTGTTTTGGAGTAAAATTGTGCACGAGAACACATAAATTAATACTCTACCAAGAACATTCATTATCAATGATGAAATTGCATCAAAGCACCCTATTTAATCATGGTCTTCAAACTTGCAATGTGCAAATCAACTCTTCTAATCTGCTTAATATGTAAACTCAATGTATACATCACCAGGATTATTGTAGACTTTAAAGATAATATTTACTGTCATGTTTTCCCTTGTTACAATTTCCTCAAATAACCATGCTTAGTATTCTGATATTGCATGGCTATCATGTGCAATCATGTGGGTAAAATAAATTATTGACCTTTTCAGAGGTTAACTGTTAGAATTATATTCAAATGGGTTTATACAGGGTGTTCAAAAAAAAACGCAACCCAAAGAAATCGCTATATCTTGGAAAATTCTTATCCAATCGTTTTCATATTTTCAGGAAAGAAAGAAGAGACTGTGTATGTATAGCTCCCGTTGTTAGTTAGTTGTAAAACATGATGTCTTGTACACCTGCTCAAAAGGCAGTCGCACATGGAAAATACGAAAAACGCGAATGGAAAATCTCTATATCTTGGAAAATACTAATTCAGTTATGTTCGTTTTATCAGGAAAAGAAAGAAGATGATGTGTATGTAAAGCTCCTGTTGTTAGTAAGTTGTAAAACATGATGCATTGGACACCTGCCCAAAAGACAGTTGTTCTAGGAAAATACGAAAAACGCAGTCAGAGGTGACTGCGACAGCAATAAAACCTAACAACTTTCTAACCATAGTGTTTTGGCACTTCAGATTTGGCACAAATTATCCTCATTCAATGTCTGGTGAATTTGTGAAGTTTCATCAAAATCACTTCAGGGACTTTACAGTCATGGTCAAAATGCCTTCTGAAGCAGTGGCGTAGGAACAATGTACGCCAAAACGCCAGTGCGTAGTGTTGAAAAGTGAGAATAAAAAGGCTTATTCATTTTCCTATGTTCTTTATTCTTTTTGAAAAATAAAATATTGAAAGTTACCTTGCTTCTACAGTTCTAATACTGTAGAAAATGCAAAGAAACATGCTTGATTTCCTGAAAATCGAGCCACTGTTGACTATCTTATGGATTTTAAAACTACAATTTCGCCAAATATTCGTGATTCGCGTTCTCTTCACGAGTTTGAGAAAAAACAGTTTTTTCAAAAACTACTTGATGAATACCTTTGCAATTTTTTGCGCATGTTCCGTAATGCTTATGCAAACTGTGGTATCGTTTAATTATAATGATGAACCTCTTTAAATTAGATGTATATTTTTTTTATTCTCTCCTACCCCCAATTTTTCAATTTCACTATATCGATTTATATTCCGTTGCGAGGCAAAATCATAGACAGAAATTATAAATAAGTCAGCAATTATCTATCTTCTTACTAATCACCAATTGTTATTGGTAGTACTTCTTGAAATATGAATGTTAAAGACAAAAACGACCTGAAAATGTTGATTATTCAAATACGCGTTCCATCGATTTCAGTTCTAGAAAAGCTATTACCTAGATTTTTATTTCATTTGAAAGATAATAGATTATTGTTTTAGAAAATATAACATTTACGGCACCCCTAAGTCACGTTGACCTCGATTTGACCTTTGTGGTGGGAGGTTTATTTGGTCTTGCGAATTAGTGTTATAAAAAAAGTTGCAGACATTAGGGTTAATTGTTTCATTGATCACGAATGCGTTTCTTTAAATCAATTGATCAAGCTAGATTCTTTGATCTGTACGTGTCGTATTGCACGGTACACGATGGAATCAGACAATAATATATATCTCAATTCAATTAATCGAAAATGATTAAAGTGAGAAAGATTTGGGATTTTCCATGGTGATTTTAAATGATGAAAATCATTCGAACATTTTAAACACATTAAAAGGGGCATCAAGGATTTTAAGCTTGCATATAAAATCGAAACGCCAACCTATACGTATGACCAATCGCCCATACAAATGCATCGCTTAAATATTTCCGTTCACATTTAGGTTATGAAAACATTGCAAGCTTAAAATCTCTATTGCCATAAAATGACGTTTAACGAGCATGAAATAGGCGATTTGATAAGATTTGACACAATTGTTTCATATTTTTGGCGGGATTTTTTGGCGTAGTGTTGAATTTACACCTTCCTACGCCCCTGTGAAGTCTGCCGGAACCAGGGCGTTTGACTGAGATTTGAAAGCATTTCGACCATAACTGTAAAGTCCCTGAAGTGATTTTAATTTCACTTTACAGATTTACCATACAGTGCATGAAGATGATTTGTGCCAAATTTGAAGAGCCAAATCACTATGGCTAGAAAGTTATTTAGTTTTTTTGCGGTTGCAGTCAGCCCTGACTGGGTTTTTCGTATTTTCCTAGTACAACTGTCTTTTTAGCAGGTGTCCAATGCATCATGTTTTACAACTAACCAACTACAGGAGCTATACATACACAGTCTCCTCTTTCTTTCCTGAAAAAATGAACAGAATTGAAGTAGTATTTTTCAAGATATAGCAATTTCTTTGGGTTGCGTTTTTTTTTGAACACCCAGGATATTCAGTTGAAGGATATCATTCTGAAAGGGAGGTCTGAAATTGTTACTTATTCAGACTAATTTACCAAACAATAAAAAAAGTTAAACAAAAATGCAGTGTAACATGACACGAGACTCGAATTAGGAATTCGAATTTCTGATCGTCAGGATATTTACTATTATTTAGTGGATAATGAAAGTGAAAGTAGATATGTTCAAAATAGATGGCACTATTGCATGGGGAATCCCTCTATGAGTCAATTGACCTACTTAAGAGTTCGCCATTTTGGCTTTCTTTGGAGTCAATGTGAAGCGTTATTTCAGCTGTTTTAGCAACTAAATATGTCTAGACGAACGACTAGGGTGTCGAGTAAGTGTTATTCTAAATGCTTCACATGATTTGCATGGAAAACAGTCAGTTAAAACTTGATAAATAGATGTACATTCTTTGTTGTTTTTCTGCACATGTCTTTTTGCATGCATTTCTGTCACATTGAAATTTCCATTTGGTTGTTATCTATCGCCTGGTAATTTATGCTTATTTTATCGATTCGTCGACTAAGGTCATAATATGGAGTATGAATAAATGCATTTGTCTTTACTTTATATTTACAAGCTGTTAGCATTTGTATTTGCACAAAAAAGAGATGTCTGGAATTCAAAACAAGAATACCTAGATTCCAACAAGGTCATGTTCATTGTAAATCATTTTCAAGGTCTTTTTAAAAAAAATCACTGAACCAATTCAAAACAAGAATACCTAGATTCCAACAAGGTCATGTTCATTGTAAATCATTTTCAAGGTCTTTTTAAAAAAAATCACTGAACCAACTTTACCTTTGTCAAAGTAAAAACAAATTGGTGAGTTTCAGCCTGGCATAAAAGTGCATCTGAGTTAGAATCTGAACACAAATTCTCGGTAGAAGTTCATATGGTGAAAATAACGAAATAATGAAATGTTACCGTGTGTCTACTTAGCAGTTTGTTCTATGTCATCCCTCCTGCAAGATTACATTGTTGAACTCAGCCAAACACGACAATGTAGGCAGTATTCTGAGGTTATAAAATCTAAATCGTAAAAATTTCCCATTTCTTCTTCTTCAGCAGCCCCTTGGAGACTTCCAGAATTGAACAAAGTAGTGAACGTTGCGATCTTTCAACTTTAGTTTGTTGTTTTTCACCACTTTATGTGTAGTGTTTTCATTTGGGAGGCAGTCTTATTTGAATGCATCATTTCAGGTCTTTATGAATCAATAGATCAATAAGCAGACTAGAAATACAGTTTTTAGCAGTTTCTTTCATTGCGTACTGGGCCTGTTAGGCACGAAATATATTTTAGCAGTTTCGTTCGTTGCGTAATTGGGCCTTCTATAATCAGTAGCAAATGCTCGGAAAACATTTTCCAAAATATTTACTTCCGTTTTCCTTGAAGACATGGTTGGGTGACACGTCATTGACACGTCATTAAGTCACATGATCGATACAGTAACTAGTCACGTGATCAGACACGTGTCACATGTCAGTCACGTGAGCTTGCAAAATGGACGATCTAAATTTCCCAAAATTCTGCTAAGATCAACATCGACATGTTGTTGCCTTCATTGTCGTGTTTGGCTGCGTTCCACAATGTAACCTAGCAGGATGGATGACATAGAACAAACCGCTAAGTAGACAGAAATGTTCAGCTGGGTACACCACTCAGTGAAGTGACTGGAGTTATCATGGCATAGAATCTTTATGCCTGTAGCCACTGGGGGTTTGATTGAGTGTTTTGTTCAAATTTGTATTTAATTTTGAACAAAATATTCAATCTGCCGGGCGCCGTAGTGAAAATCGTAGCAAATGTGATCAAGGCATGTGTCCCGTTCGAAACTTTAACAAGGACGTGATTTGATAAATGAGAAATGTTAGAACGGTATATTTCATTTATGATCAATATTTAATCGTGCTGAGTTTTGGCTCATATCCCGTAATGGACAAACTAGAGACAAAGATTATGCCAATTTTAAATTAAAAGATAATCTTGCAACATTAGCAAGACAAAATGCCACACAGGTTATCGCAAACAAGTTAAATTAGATAGGATTCAACCATTTACTGTGTTCATATATGTAGCATATTAGTTCTGTTCGTATCTGTAACTAGAGCTCATGATTGTGGTGTCAAGAAGCAAAATCATTTCATCTGAATATTATAGTAATACTAGTTGGCCATTTAATTTGATAATATTTTTCCTGAAAAGTTACGAATTCACAATGACGCAACAATGTATCTTTTAGAATCAATATTTTATAATGAAGTGTATTGCTGACCACCCAGCAGAGTCCTCTACGTATAACATTCCCTGGCTACATAGTGTATTAGTGTGACTACAACCATGCAAACAGGGGCAGGGGCCATGAATTCATACGATCCAAGAATTTATCTGGATAAATTTTATTGTTTAGGAAAGATTTTGAAAAATTGACCTAGATATGTATTTGGTAAAGTGGTAAGATTCTAGGCTTTATCCAAAAGTCATTGGAATTTGGATTTTGGATGTAAATTTATCCACCTATGTAGGTGGATTGAGATAGAGATAAAGTTTATTCTAAAGATTGTCTGAATTCATCAATGATCATATTAATTCAATATTTATCCCACAATGCATCATTAGTATTCATTACCATGACAATATTTATCAGGATCAGATTATGGCTCTTACAAATTCACAGCCATTTAATATACATTTAACATTGTGATTTCAGACAAGAGGAAGTCCTATGTAGAAGAGACTTTGTCAGATGAAGAATATGTTCCATCTCCAGTAGATGTTGGTGCCGATGACGACTCTGACAAGGATGAGACTTGGACTCCAGTTGGTGTGGTGAGTCAAATGTCATTACTTGGAGCATGTGTCTCGAAAATATTATGATTTTTATGTCACCACCAGAAGAGGTGACATACTGTTTATCTCCAATTTTTTGTGGATAATGTTTGGCTGCTGGTGTTGGGGGTTGGGGTTCATCGGCTGTCATCATCTGTAACAAATGGCATGTGTAGACATTTGCATATTAATGCCTTGTTGAATAATGAAATTTGCTTTATTTTGATTTAGTCACTATTTTTGGGTTTGACGTCTCTGTCGATTTTGAAATTGCAATCAGGTTGTGACATTTTGGCTTGTTAATGCCTTTTTACAAATGCCTTGCTACATACGTAGTTACAAATGCGAAAGACAATTGAATTTGATAATTGTTGATTATTTATAATGAATACTGTGTTTATTAAATGTAATTGATTATATGAATTTAATGTAAATGCATGTGTAGATGTATTTGTTTGAAAAATATAAATCTCCAATGATAATCAAATAATGATCTGAAAACATTAGTTTATGTACTTTTAGTATTTGTTTAGTACAGTGATCTAGTCTTTCTTAAAATCCTTCATCTAGATCGTTCTGTATTGACAATCCTATTTATTGTGAAAAACAATGTATAAACTGTAAATACCTATACATTGTAAATGATAACACTTTAAATGACTTTAATTTAATGTAACATACAAAAATCAAGCTTTACAGATAATCTATTCATGTGAAAAATCTATTTTTGTTAAAGAAATAACTGGAAACATACTGACAAAAACAATTATAGTATATTGTGTTTTTCTTGCATCAAATACAAAAAGAACTTGAATTTAATATAACAATGATTTGAATATAAGCGATTCAGTCCAATTACATTTTCTGTCTAATCCCCCCTCGATCTCATTTTGTCTCAAGTTCCTGCAACTAAATCAATTGATGTTTTTAGGAAACCAGGCGCAACATTAGTGATGATGATGACGATGAACCTAAAAGAAAGCGTGGCAGAGCATCAACTAGTTCACCTAGAGGGTAAGTCAGTAGTCAACTAAGTTCATATATAGTTAAGCAAACATTCTTGTTTTCAGTGTTTAAAGAAGCAAAATTCTGCAAATAAGACTAGCAAAATGGCATATTTGACAAGAATCCTACATTTTATTGCAGCTACTTAGAGGAGTGCATCCTATTTTACAATTCAGGTATTTTAATATATCATATACCTCCATGAATATCGTTCCAGTTGTTAGTGACACAACAGCTGCAGGAAGATCAAATTAAAAGGACAAATTTAGTGGCCCATATGTATATTTCATGCTTACTGTTGCAGGCGTAGGTCCCACAACACCCCAAGTAAGCCCCAACATACAATGGTTGAACCAATGACACCCCCAGGACCACAGCCAGAGATTGTTGATGAAGAGGATGCTGTAGGAGTAGAAGATGATGGAGAGTTTGTTCATCATTATCAGGTCAGCTTTTTGTGATTTGGTCAAATTCTACTTCAATTGAATCAGATCTAAAACTATTCTGAGAACTGGGCAATTTTATAATTTCTGGTGAATTTCTGCTTATTGAACTGGATGCGGCTCTAAATTGCTAAAATTCTAAGGGATGGTGAGTCTTAGGCAATGTAAAATTCAAACTGGACTAAGTGAATCTCTCCCTCAATAAATGGTCTGAAATGGGAGATTTTTGTAATCCATAAAATTCTTGAGATAATGACAGCAGCAAAATTGTCATAAAAAGCATTTCATTTGATGTTATATGTAGCTGTTGTTCCTTATTGTTGCAGAAAGGTGATTTTGTGATAGAGAGGAAAGACCTGACCAACTACAAGAAGTTCCCTATATGGAAACTTGACACTGGGAGACTGCTACAGAAGTTTGAAGCTGAGGAACAAGATGGGAGGCTAGTCCATAAGTCTCTCTCCACTGTAAGTTGCACATGAAGTTATCTAATGTTTCCCTGAGAATCTGGAATATTAAATTATCATCAGAAATCCAAATTTTTTATGTTCATCAAAATCTTCAGTTTTTGGTATGAACGGATCTTTAATTTGGTGCAAGAGGCAATTTGAATGCAGCACTCCCATTGATTGCCCAATCATTTCCATAATTTCCCCAATACATCACTGTATAGCTAACCAATGTCCTCGTCTTCAGTATTCCAGTTGGACAGAGAGTCAGAAAGGAATGTTCAGACCAATCAAAGTTAAAGCTATTACCTTCCTAAAGGGAGTAGAGATTGTAGAAGTCCTGGAAAGATTCAAGCCTAAGGCTCCAGAAGAAAGGTATGCACCCATAGATAATTATGATTGCAAGTGAATTGTGTACCCTGATTCAATATTAGCTAGCTCTACCCTCTGACTATTACAGTATACATGATTTATCAAAACTAATATTAATGGTTTCAAATGTTGCTTTCATGTTTTTATGGGGGCACGATATTGAAATAATAATGTTGTTTTCATGTTTTTATGGGGGCATGATATCGAAATAATAATGTTGTTTTCATGTTTTTATGGGGGCATGATATCGAAATAATAATGTTGTTTCATGTTTTTATGGGGGCATGATATCGAAATTATAATGTGGTGTCACAATTTTCTGATTGCATATTCTGATTGGATATAGGTTAGAGTGCAGAGTGCAGGTTAACTTTTGCAAAGGGTATAAGAATTATAGAATGTGCAAGGAATTAAGTTAATAAAGGTGCTTAAAACAATACACTTTAATCTTAAATTATAAAATAAAGTCAGAAATTCTATTAAAAAAACAGAAAAATAAAGTTTAATGGCTGGAATTGTTGAATGACTTATCCTATTAGTATAAAAAACCATGGTATCTTAGAGTTAGTTATGTTATATTGCTATGTTATAGGGCTGAGAATGACCCTCTCATGGAAACATTCAATGTTTACACTCAAGTTCTACTGAGTCAGGCCCTGGAGGACAGTTTCCTTGCAGCCATACAGGAATCTGGAGGTCAGTATATGCTCCCTTGAATCATAAATAACATTGGGTTATGTCCTTTAGCCCCTTTCAACCAACTATGGGTCACAATAATTCTCTATCTTTTACTTGAACACTTAAAATAACTTGAATGTACATGTATGTGTATATTAAACCACTTTGAGCATTTTAACAATTTATATAAACTCACCCATTCAAATCAATACAATGTCTAACAAGTAACACAGTTACTCCCAGTGATATAAATATTCTACTATTCATATTTCAGAGGATTTCTATCTTGAACCTCTGAATGGAATTGATGGCTTGTGCCAGAAAGCTATTACCAAAATAGAGGAAGGTAGTGGTTGGATTCCAGCTTTCAAAGTAAGTAACTTTTAGCTTTTGTGACAGGTTCAATAATGCTTTGGGGTAGCCCTTGTATCGTATGTGTTTTCTATTAAATTTGATGTAAATGAAATCCTAAACTTAACTATTAAGCATTACAGCTCATGAGCCTGTTGTTGATCACTTACTCATAGTATCAGCTTCTCAAGTCAAAATAATTTTTTGATTTCTTCAATTTCTATTTGTGGGTTCCCACTTGCTTGCATTACTCAATATACTACTAAAAATACTCAAAATTAGAAATCCAAAATCTGAAAATATAACGAAAGAGGTATGCTATCCAAAGGGATTCTCCATACTATACTCTATTCTACATTGATTTATATTTATGCTGTATCATTTTTAATGCTGATTATTCATGTACTGATATCCATTAGATATGGAGCATGCTGCGTTGTGTTCATAATGTGGTACATGTTGATAGTGTGTAACACCAGTGTTGATAGTGTGTTACACCATTGTTGATAGTGTGTTACATCAGTGTTAATAGTGTGTAACACCAGTGTTGATAGTGGGTTACACCGGTGTTGATTTGACACTTTTGTTCTGTTTTCCAGGAAGCAGTACGGGACAGACCATGCATAAAGATTAACCCTAAACAAGCTGCCGGGGAACCTTGTCAGGTGAGTTCCTAAGAACCTTTCGTTGCTTTAAACCAATCAGACTGCTTTCTGTCCTGGACCAATAAAATTGCATGTTGATCTTTTCCACTAAGATTGCATGTTGCTCTTGGCCAATAAGATTGCTTGTTGCTCTTGGTCAATAAGATTGCTTGTTGCTCTTGGCCAATAAGATTGCTTGTTGCTCTTGGTCAATAAGACTGCATGTTACTCTAGATTATATGTTTTGATTGATAACCCTTGTAGATACCCGTGCCTCATACTAAATTTTGCAATTTTTATTTCCTATAGGCAACGAATGATGAAAGTCAACCTGTGGTAAAAATAGTCACTCTCTCTGGGGATACATATGATAAAGCTACATTGGATATCCGGATAAGTGGAGAGTTACCTGTGGAATATATGATTGGTGCTAGTACAGCAGATGTCTTGATGAAATACCATTCCTTGCAACACTTTAAGTGGATCTGTCATTCTGAGTGTGCCAAACAGGTATGTACTTGATGCCACATGCCCCCCCCCCCCCCAGAATGTCATTCTCCTTTTATATTCCAGTTCATGAATTTTATTGTTATTTTGAACCTACAAAAGTGGTGACATGTTGTAATTGTCTCCAACCTTTTTGTGACTCTTACAAGGTGGTTACATTATGTCATGTTAATGCCAGGCATGCCTAGTATTTAACTGTCTAGCCTGCCAGTACTTGTCCATATATATGGAATTATTATCTACCCCTGTTTGCTAACATATAACTGATGAGTCGTTGTATGCTATTCTAGATAAAAGATATCCAGGTAGCTAATCCAGAGCTGGAGAATGAAGAAGTCTTGGACAAGTGTCTCAACACAAGAACATGGATATATCAGGTACATTCTAGATTTCATAATAAATATCCACTGACTCATATTTTTGTGAAATCTCCCTTTTAATAAAAGTGCTACATTAATGTCGTTCAGCTTAATTTTTACAAGTGCAAGTGCAAACTAGTGTCAGTGTCTGATCAGGTTATAGGCATGCTGGGTAAATTATATGGTGGCCATTTTGCTCTTCAGAGTGCAATGTTTATTACATATTATAGTTGAAGTTTTAAGTATGACTTCCTTGTAAATGTTTGTTTGTCTTAATATCATAAATCCCTTTTGTATTTACACCGAATAAGCTAAAATATATTTTAGTAAAACATAGTAAGTAAATAAATAGTGAAATTAATCACCTCACCATGATCTAAATTACTACCTTATAATAGGGAAACATTATGATTTTACGTCACAAAATAAACAAACTTTGGACATTTCCAATTTTATTTATTTCATTTTCAGCTCTTCTTAAAGTTGCGAGGCCTTATTGGGAAAGATGCAAAAATAGACACTGGCCCTGAGAGTGCTAATGAGAATGGCAACGAGAAAAATATGGACTCTAAATCAGACAATTCCAATGATGCGGGATCATGATGTCTCAAAGATGCATTTATGTGTCTCTAAGGATACATTTATGTGTCTCAAAGGATATATTCATGTGTCTTCATAATCTGATATTACATCACTGAGAAAAATATAACTGAAAACTGAGATGTTTACTACACAAGCCTTGTAAAGCAATGTTCAGTTGGTGCTGTGGATGATGAGTTCTGTTGTCATATTTATACCCATTTTATGTCCGGTTAAAATGCAATCATGATGTTAGGTTAAAAATGACTCTTATGTCATAATGTCATTTTAAGACCTAGCTTTAACACAGTGTAGACATCACTCTTGATGCCATGAAAACATCCTGAAATCTTCTGTAATAATAGGATGTCATACACAATTTTGGTGTCCGAATTCTACAATTCTGACATCTGAAATGGATACAGTGGAATCAGTGCATCAAAATGCTTAAAATAGGAAATATTGCGTTATATTTGTAAGCAATGTTAAGGGCATCAATCAGTGAAGAGGTTTTTTGCCATGAGCAAAATTGATTCCTCCTAAAATTAAATCTATCGACCGTTTAATCATGAGTGGTGTTAGTGAACTCATTCACTTCCAACTTGTGTTAACTGATTAAATAGCTATTTGAGATGATACATGCTGGCTAGATTACTGTACTGTCAATATGTCTTTCACCCTGTTTATTTTTGCTGTTTTATTTTTGTAATAGAAAAAAACATGTGAGCTTGATCAGCAAAATAAACTCCATTTGTGTTCAGTATACATGGTATAGAACTACTCATATTTTCATGTGGTATGATTCCAAGACCATTAGAATGGATTTAGTCAAGACTGAAAATGTTTGTATTATTTCAAAAGGGGCTTTAAAGTTAACTTGAGTAGTATGTGTCGCTTTTGACTAGTGTAAAAAAGCGTGTAGCTAAAAAATATTTGGCAGTTTGTAGTGTATGGTAAAACCTGTCTAAAATTTTATCTTTTAATGGGGTCAGTGGTAACGAGACTTATGAAAAAGGTCATATTTATAAAAAAAATTTAATGTTCGATGGGCCTATGAGATTTTATCTGTAAAAACATTTGTGGCAAATTCATTGATTTGCGGGAACTGGCTTTACATACATGTGTTGTAATTCATGTTAAGATGTTGAAAATGAGAATGGGACCTTTAAATCTTGTATAGTTTTTGAAACTCCTTTGGAACATCTAAAAATGTTCCACTTTGGATGTGTACCACTTGTAGGTGTTTATTTACATTAGGTCAGTTTGTCATGTTCCACTTATACAGATGTATTGAATTCCACAGAGCTTTTCCACTTAGCAGGTTTTACTGTAATTCAACATGTTTAATAAGAATAATTTATATGACAATATTGCAGCAGGATTTTGAACATGTTTAATACATATACTAGAAGTACATTGTAAATGATATGATGAAACTGGATTATGTTGGGGACAGGAGGGTTGTACAAATGTTGGAATGGGTGCACACTTGTGAGATATAAACTGAGATTACTGCACTGGTATCACTATGTATAGTTGAGCTTTTGGTCAAAATAAAATTAAAATTGAAAGCATTACATTCTCATAGTACTTGTTAATCATATGAAATTCAGCTTGTTAATTGGCTCACCATATCGACCTTGACACCATAATTAGGAAGTGAGGTGTGCCAGAATTGGTGTGCCAACATGGCCATACTTGGTGCAAATGCTGCTTGTTAAAGGCCTATTACGTTGTTTAGTCTATTTTATTTTTGAATGAAGAAATGAAATGTAATTCTCATGTACATTAGTTTTTGTATCTTGATTGTTTATGTGTTTTTTTCTCATAATGGGTGTTACTGAACGTTTTTGTGTAAAAAATTCAATCTCCTCGTTCATTATTAACCTTATCAAAAGATTGAAGTTCTAATATCAACAACTCAGTGTTCAAACAAATCTTGTTTTTAGTCCTGTCTTCTTAAGTTAAGTGATATAATATTAAATGAAAAAAGGTGAATGTTTTGGTCTTGTTGAGTGCTTACTCTTCATGCTATGGTGTTAAAGATCTGTAGATTGCATCATTTGTTAATGCAAACGCTCACTTTAACATCCATGCTCACATAAGACCCCTGGGTTATTCATGAGGATACAACATATTTTTGGGCAGTATTTGTTGTCTTGAAATGTATACTGTTCTTGCTTACTGTATGAAATTATATTTTTTATGATGTCAAAACTTGTGGATATGTTTTACCTTATTTGGTCACTGTAGAGTTAGTAACAGTAAATGGTTGGTAAATTTCAAACCTGTACATTGAAAACACAACTGTTAAATTGCATTATGATGTACAATGTACATAAACTCTATTTCTAAATATATATTATATATAATATATACATACACTCATTTGTTATTAGATTTTTACATAGGCTGATATATGTTACAATGTTCTTAAAAGTAATATCTGAAAAGAAGTTGAAGTTGAGATATCAGATGAAAAGCTAAATACATTCTGATTATCATTCTCTCTCTGTTATCTAAAGCTTGTGTCTATTCCAAGCAATAGTAGAGAATGGGGATCCCAGAGCTAAATACATTTGTGGTATATGAACACACTTAGTGTTTTTATTCTCATCTGTACTCAATGTTCAATTTAATTCTTTGCATTAAGATTTTACAATTTTATTTACATAAAACCCCTGTTCTTGCCAGTATTTACAAGTTAAGTAAGTACATGGTTTAGAGCCTTATTTACACCAATGGGTTGTTGTCCCACAATATCCCATGCAATACTCAGTATATGTGGGTCTTACCATGTCTCATTGGTGCTTGTCTTATGTGAAATATGTTAGTGTTAATATTACAATTCAGGTTTTAAAATCACATATGAGATATAATGTATATTACAATTCAAGTTACAAAATACATATGTTACAACATAGAGAAAATATTAAGTTTAAGTACACACATATAAACCCTATATTACAAATTTTTCAGAACTTTATTTTGTAGTTTATGTGGACATAGTGACAAAAATTGTCATGCATTGACAGGAGTATGCTTAAGATTTGTTATCATCAAGATAGCCCAATTAAAATATCATGCACCTTCTATAAACTGATACCATGCAAACTGGTCACAAAAAATCATTCCTTTCTGCCCACCTTAATTGTTAGTACATAAAAAGATGTATCATGAGAAAAGAGGTGTTACCACAACCACACCATTCTTTAATTTGAAACACCACAGGGTTTAAAATTTTAATGCAATTCCAAATACTCCAATATTTCTTAGCTCAAACAGACGTGATAAGACCCACTTATCTTCTGCAGTTCATAATTCTATGTAATATTGTATCTGATATATACATTTATAGGTCTAACATTAAAATGTTCTCAGTTCTACCCATAAACTACTTATGTATTTTTATATCACAATCTGAATATTCTTTCTATTTACAACTGGCAAGATCTGTAAGGCTGTCTGATGGTTTAAAGTATAACACACAAGTAAATGAAAATGTTTTATATTCTGGTTAAGGTGGTCCAAGTAATATGAATAATCATGTTGGGTTTACAGTATCTAATCTCACTAGGCCCACCTTAAAGCCCTGTGCAGAGTTTTTAAAATTCAACATCCATTCCTTCTGACCCAAAAAGCATGCAATAGGCATATTCAAAAAGGTTGAATTTGAAAAAAGTTACCTTAATTTGAATTCCCTAGTATTTACCACAAGTTCATTGAAAATCTGCAGTTATATATATTTCGAAAATGATGAGTTGATGAATTCAAATTGGCAAGTTACAATTACACAAAAGGCTGAATTAACACTGAAACTATGAATAATTTACTGCAGGATATCATTTACTTTGTTAATGTCACTGTGTTTTGTTATGTGTAGAATCCAATGGATAAATAGAACCAGTATACCATGCATTGCTGGGTAATTAGTGTTTCCAAATTATTATTCCATTTTGTTTAATAGTTAGAACTTAGAATCATCACTGCTTTGATTCTAGAACTTTCTCTAGAACAGCATTTGCCACTGCATTCTCAACTTGTTTTTCTAGAACAGCGTTTGCCACTGCATTCTCGACTTGTTTTTCTAGAACAGCATTTGCCACTGCATTCTCGACTTGTTTTTCCAGAACAGCATTTGCCACTGCATTTTCGACCTGTTTTTCAAGAACAGCGTTTGCCACTGCATTCTCGACTTGTTTTTCTAGCACAGCATTTGCTACTGCATTCTCGGCTTGTTTCTCTAGAATTGCATTTGCTACGACATCTTCCATGTGTTTTTCTAGGGCTGCCTGAGCTGCAGCTTCTAACATTTGTTTTTCTAGCGCTTCTTGAGCTGCAGCTTCTTCCATTTGTTTTTCTAGAGCTGCCTTAGCTGCAGCTTCCAACATTTGTTTTTCGAGGGCTTCTTGAGCTGCAGCTTCTTCCATTTGTTTTTCTAGGGCTGCCTTAGCTGCGGCTTCCAACATTTGTTTTTCGAGCGCTTCTTGGGCTGCAGCTTCTTCCATTTGTTTTTCTAGGGCTGCTTTAGCTGCGGCTTCCAACATTTGTTTTTCGAGGGCTTCTTGAGCTGCAGCTTCTTCCATTTGTTTTTCTAGGGCTGCCTTAGCTGCGGCTTCCAACATTTGTTTTTCGAGCGCTTCTTGGGCTGCAGCTTCTTCCATTTGTTTTTCTAGGGCTGCTTTAGCTGCAGCTTCCAACATTTGTTTCTCTAGTTCTGCCTGAGCAGCATCTTCTTCAATTTGTTTTTGTACAGCATTGGCAACAGCATTTTCAACATGTCTTTCAAGAACAGCATTGGCCACCACACTTTCAACATGCTTTTCTATAACTGCAGCCATTACAGCATTTTCAGCATCCATGACATCTTCTTCAGTTGGAACTTTTTCATCGGTGTCTATATTGATATAGTCATTATTCTGCTGGTATGAATCTACTTTGGTGTTTGTAGTGAACTCTATTTGAACATCCCTTGAATCTGCAGCGGTCTTACTGAGCATCCACAAACGTAAGACATCAAAATTACTAACCTCAAGTTCATTGATTTTTTCAAAGCTTCTTGCTGGCTTAGGTGGAGGAGTTTGTTGTGACGAAGCAATGTTCCTGTTTCGAGGCTTCCTCCTTGTTGAGGAAGTTAAGGATGCATTCCTTTTTGGTGACTTCACTGGTTTGGCTTTTGATATCTTTTTCTTCTCTGACTTTGTTTGTTTGCTGTTTGTTCCACCCATTCTTATGAAGTCAATGTCCTGTAGTTAATTTTCTAAGATAACTACAATTTTATAAATCAACTGTATCTGATCCAGAATGGATGTGAAAAGAAGTTTTCAAATAAAACTGTTTCTATCCTTTATATCAATGAAGATTGTTTTATTTTATTACACTGTCCTATAATTGTAAAGTAAATTTCACAATCTCTGACCTCCTTCTCTGTTGGTTTTATGGAACTTTAATTTGAAAATGCAACTTATGAAGAAGTATCCACTTTATCAATGACTATCATACCCATTGTGTGTTGAATCTAATTGAACACCGATCAATAAAATTCATCGTTGTTCCCTTTTCAAATGAAATATAGCCTAATGGCTAGGATCATAATGAACAAGGAATAATGTGAACAGGCATGAAGTTTGAACTCAAATTTGCATTAAAAATCATAAATACAAACACAATTATTTAATTGAAGAGAAAAGATGTGAAAAGGCATGATCAGTTGTGAATTTAATGCAAGGAATGTTCTGATGAGTATATTATTGATAAATTCCATTCCCTGTACAATCACTTTTAATCTTTATTTACATGTTAGCGACCAAATATGACTTATACATTAATGTAAACAAAAACGAGGTCAATCAGTGTTGAGTAAAGGAAAATATGTAGAAAATTGGGTATTACTTGGGCGAAAGTATTCATTTAGGCCAGTTAGTCATCCGGAAGTAAATAATTATTGTTAATGTGTTATCTGTATGACTGATTATTTGTAGATGATGTCATGTTTGGAGGAATTAAATATTGTTGGTGAAGCAGAATGAAAAATATTTATTTTTCAATTTCATTACTTTTATATAATTTCAAATTATTTATAAAGATATATAAAGACAGCTATAATAGTTTTAAACATCTTAAAAAGACAATTAGATCTTTATATCTGTTATATAAAAATGTAGTACAATTGAAAACTCAACCATTTGTTATATATATATAAACATCTAATATATTATTGCTTTATGATTAAAAAGCTTTGTAGAACCAAAGAAGCTAACCATTCAAAACCTTTACACATGCCCTCTCCAGGGCTGTCAACTTGGGACCACCTAATATGAGTGACTTACAAATGTTGGACACCGAAGTCCAAATCTGAACACTTTTGTCCAAATTTTGAACACCTTTGGCCAACTTTTAAACACCTTTGGCCAAAGTTTGAGCACCTTTGCTAAACTTTTATAACCTCAAATTTTTCGCGCTCGCTACGCTCGCGATCTCAACAACGGGGGGGGGGGGGGGGGGGGGGGGGGGGGTAGGTACGAAAATTTCCAATGAACATGCGTGACATATACGGGATTCGCGTGACAAATCCGAACAAATTGCGTTCGTTTTTTTCCAACGTTCGTATTTTTACCGTATCATAAACATATTTTGAAAATTTTTTTACAGAAACATATTTGCGTGACAATTACCAGGTAAAATGCGTATTTGCGTGACATTTTGTGTCACGCAAAAAAAACTGGCGTGACTTCAAATTCTTCAGCAAATGCGTGACAAATACGCAAATTGCGGGACAGTTGACAGGCCTGCCTCTCACATAAGGTAAGAGATAAAAACAGAAATCTGTAGGTCCATGATATAACTAGACTCATTTTTAAAGATTAGACTCAAATGATAAATGTGGATATATGTACCATACATGCTATACATGTTTGGGGTTATCCCATGCCAGGACTATATAGTCCTGTCACAGGATAAGTTTGGGAGTCATCAGTTGATTGCTCTGGGTTATCTGAGCTGAAACCAACAGACCAATGGACCAATTTAATTTGACAATTGTGCTTCCATTGTTATACACTCTACAGAAGATGTTATATTGTAATTATACTATTTCCTTCACTATAATGTGTATGTAAATTGAAACAGATTTTTGCCATCAATTGACTTTTTCAAGGTTGAACAATCCACAAACCATACATCCATGGGCAAATTGTAAAACTGAAACTAGGTCAGTCTAACGAGTAACAACAAACGGTAACTTCCGGTTTATAAAAATGAGTGAAAATCAACAAAGTCAAGTTGTTTTGCTGCAAAATGCTCTAAAGGCGACGAAAGAACTTAGGACAAGCGTTCAAAATGTTTTTGGAAAACTCTGCGATGGAATGGAGGACGGAGAAGACCAGGAAAAGACTTTATTGAACGACTTGCAGCAAAGTTTGATGAAAGTCAACACTGATCTTGGGTATTATTTTTGTTTCATGTGTTATATTGACATGTTTGATAAATTGTATTTACTGTTCAACCAAGTAGACTGTCTATTAGATGATTTAATGTTTTGCAACTATAATGTATTTCTATGTTTTCTCAATCAGTCAAATCAATCTTTGAGGGATGTTGTGATTACGAAATTCAAAATTAACTCCTTCACATCCTCCTAAGCAGGTATCCAGAATCCATACCTGCTTCTTCCCCCTGCTATAAGCAATTTGGAAGCGCCCGATTTAACTGAATCACATGATCTAATTATGCGCAATGACTTGTACATGATTTCTGTTGCAGTGTTGCGACAGCCAATCAGATTGCGAGTTCTTAATCAGGGTAATGCTAACTGCTTATCGCAGGGGGAGAAAAGAAAGAATATATTCTGGATTTTGAAGCCCTGTGATCGGAGGATGCTCCTTCTGGACTGGTCACTTTTTGGAAAAATGAAAATATAAAATGTACAAGAATCTAGAAGCAAGAAATGGTAGCAAGATACAAATATACAATTGTTGACCTCTCCTGAGGTCAACCGGCAAAATTGTATACCGAGACTGTAAACCGAGAAACTACTGTTGAGACCGAAGGTCGAGGCCAACAGTAGTGTCAAGGTTTACAGTCGAGATATATGATTTTGACGGTTGACCGAATGGAGAGTCTACAATTGTTTTGTTAGTCAGAAGAAACTAATAATACACATATAGACGACAATCATCAATCATGGCTTCATTTCACAATCTTTTCTCCGAACCACGCCAGCAATGATTTTTTACGAAAGCTAAACTCTCTGTTTTCGGTACATCACTGCGTACTCACTAGTAAATTAATGTTAATTTTACGGTTCTATTTGTATTTTTGCTATACTTGTCGTCTAGTAAAGTCAAAAATATCACTTTCATCAACGTTTACAAAATATCCGTCTACCATGTTTTTTCTGTAAACATTATGACGTCATATTCCCCATAATTCACAAGTGTAGTACAGTAACATACGCGGTCAATAATATGATAACCTATGATGCACATCATGGTGGGGTACAGGCAAAAATGTTGACCGCTAATTGACCAATCAGATACGAGTATTTATACTGAGGTACTAACAATAAGTTATATATCATTTTGAAGGGCTCCCATGCCTTATGTTTTTTTTGAAAAAAATATGAATATACAAATGAGATACTGTCATTGTGACGTCATAATTTAAGATGGCGCATTTGGATTTTTATGTCACCACCAAAAGTGGTGACATATTGTTATGGTCTCCGTTTTTTTTTTATGTCACCACCAAAAGGGGTGACATATTGTTATGGTCTCCGTTTTTTTTGCGACGGCGGTTGGTGGTTGGCGTCCGGCGGTTGGCGTCCGGCGGTTGGCGTCCGGTGTCCGGCGTCTGTAACAATTTCTTACAACTTCCTATAACTTAACAAATACTGTTTAGACTGACTTCAATTTTTTTCTAAATCATCTACATGTTCTCGGAAGTTCAAATCTGACTTTAGATTTGACATTTGACCTTCAATGACCTTCTCAAGGTCAAAAAGGTCTTTTTTCAACTCGCTTCACATTGACTAAATTTTTTTTCAAAATCATCTACATGTTCTCAGAAATTCAAATCTGACTTTAGATTTGACATTTGACCTTCAAATCTGACTTTAGATTTGACATTTGACTTTCAATGACCTTCTCAAGGTCAAAAAAGGTCAAAAAGGTCTGTTTTCAACTTGCTTCAAATTGACTAAATTTTTTTTTTCAAAATCATCTACGTGTTCTCAGAAATTCAAATCTGACTTAAGATTTGACATTTGACCTTCAATGACCTTCTCAAGGTCAAAAAGGTCTGTTTTCAACTTGCTTCAAATTGACTAAATTTTTTTTTCAAAATCATCTACATGTTCTCAGAAATTCAAATCTGACTTAAGATTTGACATTTGACCTTCAATGACCTTCTCAAGGTCAAAAAGGTCTGTTTTCAACTTGCTTCAAATTGACTAAATTTTTTTTTCAAAATCATCTACATGTTCTCAGAAATTCAAATCTGACTTTAGATTTGACATTTGACCTTCAATGACCTTCTCAAGGTCAAAAAAGGTCAAAAAGGTCTGTTTTCAACTTGCTTCAAATTGACTAAAAAAATTTTTCAAAATCATCTACGTGTTCTCAGAAATTCAAATCTGACTTTAGATTTGACTTAAGATTTGACATTTGACCTTCAATGACCTTCTCAAAGTCAAAAAAGGTCAAAAAGGTCTTTTTTCAACTTGCTTCAAATTGACTAAATTTTTTTCCAAAATCATCTACATGTTCTCAGAAATTCAAATCTGACTTTAGATTTGACATTTGACCTTCTCAATGTCAAAAAAGGTCAAAAAGGTAATTTTTCATCTTGCTTCAAATTGGCTAAATTTTTTTTCAAAATCATCTACATGTTCTCAGAAATTCAAATATGACTTTAGATTTGACATTTGACCCTCAATGACCTTCTCAAGGTCAAAAAAGGTCAAAAAGGTCTTTTTTCAACTTGCTTCAAATTGACTAATTTTTTTTTTCAAAATCATCTACATGTTCTCAGAAATTCAAATCTGACTTTAGATTTGACATTTGACCTTTAATGACCTTCTCAAGGTCAAAAAAGGTCAAAAAGGTCTGTTTTCAACTTGCTTCAAATTGACCAAATTTTTTTTTCAAAATCATCTACATCTTTTCAGAAGTTCAAATTTGACTTTACAAGTTCTCAGAAATTCAAATCTGACTTAAGTTTGAACTCATAATATTGTGAGCAACTAGGTGGTGACATTTTGTCATGTTAATGCCTTGTTTAGAAAATGTTATTATTTTAGCATTTAATTTTTTATTGAGACTTCCATTCAAAAATCTGAATTGACAGAATTGTAGATCTTTTTATGCTGATTTCAGAGGTATTTGTACCGTGGCATAAGTTCTCCTACAAATAAATTTTTTCGATTTTTACGATTTCACAATTTTTCGCAACTTTGTAAATACTTAACGAAAAGTCATGAATTTTTTTAAAATGTTTGTACAGACTTCAAGATTACAGAAATTTATAAACCATTCATTTTTATCATCAGGGTAACCAGTCCTGAAGGAGTTAAACAGTCAGCTATTTTTTCACTTCGAATTTTTAATTGCAAGTTTTGGTCTTATACATAACAAAATATTGTAAATCACACAGTACAGGAAAAGATCAAGATATTAGATTCTCCTACTTCAGGAAGGGGTGCGCGGGAGAGTGCATCGGCTACTATCAAATCTTTCCCGGCAACATGTGAAATCGAGTAATTGAACCTGCTCATCCGGAGCTTGAATCGCTGAATCCGGGGCGGTAATTCACTGAGAGTCTTGGTACCTAGCAATGGCACTAATGGTTTGTGATCTGTTTCAATCTCAAATTTTAATCCAATCAGATACTCTGAAAAGCGTTCGCATGTCCACGTCAAAGCAAGCGCTTCTTTTTCAATTTGCGCGTAGCGCATTTCTGCTTCACTTAAAGATCTAGAAGCAAACGACACCGGCCGCCATTCTTTATCTGACTGTAATTGCCATAAACAGCCCCCTAGACCATAACTGGATGAATCCGCTGAAACTCGCGTATCTAAATTTGGGTCGTAGAGTGCTAAGACTGGAGTCGATTTTACCTCGCGTTTAATTTCATCAAAAGAACGCTGGTGATTTGCTGTCCATAAAAATTCAGTACCTTTACATAAAAGTTCACGAAGCGGCTGACTTAGAACAGCAATTTTCTGTGTAAATTTGCTCAACTGGTTAACCATTCCGAGAAAACGGCGGACACCACTGACATCCTTTGGACAAGGCATATCAGTAATCGCTCGGACTTTGGACGGATCTGCGGAAACTCCATTTTGACCAATCAAAACTCCGACGAATTTGAGCTCAGTTTTTCCAAAATCACACTTCTCTTTGTTGAGAGTGATTCCCGCCACTTCAAGTTTTTTCAACACTTTGTGTAAACGCGAGTCGTGCTCGGCTTTAGTTTTCCCGTGAACAACAATATCATCCATGAAACATTGAACTCCCTCAGAATCATCTAGTATCTGGGAAACACGCTTCTGAAAATGCTCGGGCATTGATGCGATACCAAACGGGCAACGTTTAAATGCGTATCTGCCAAACGGGGTTATGAACGTTGTCAACAACTGTGACTGGGTGGACAATGGAATTTGGTAGAAACCAGAATTTGCGTCAAGCTTACTGAAATATTTTGCCCCTGCCAAATTTCCTAAAACTTGTTCAGTTGAAGGTAAAATGTATTTCTCAGTTTTTACATGTTTATTCAGTTTGGTATAGTCAACACATATTCTGACATCCTCTTTCCCCCGTTTTAACACAGGGACCATGGGACTACACCAATCTGTAGGATATCATCATCCTCCATTTTCTGGAGTTTACTTTTACACAGAGAATACAATGGTATCGGTAGACGTCTAGGTGAATTTACAGCATAAGGTGTAGCATCAGCATCAAGAACTATAGTATACTCGGTCTCAATTTTTCCGAGACCTTGAAAAAGTTTCGGATGCTTCCGCTCAACTTCAATGCTGTTTACAACCTTGATAACATTTAAACTTTCAATAGCAGGTATACCTAACAATGCACATTTGAGATTTTTGGCTACATAAATGTCTTGGGTTGAACACTGAGAATGAGATTCTACTTCTGTAGTAAATTTACCCAAAATATCAATGGCAGTGCCACTAGCACCATACACTGGTACTGTAGATTCTTGCAAATCAACATTGCATGAAGATTGTAGACATTTGAAGGTTTTCTCTGGTATCACTGTGATGTCAGCTCCCGTATCAATTGAGAATAACACTGGCGAGCCACTGACACTAAGATTAATATCATATTTGGCACTGGAAGTACCATCACAATCAACTTTACCAATAAAGGCATAATCATCACTTTCTGAATCACTAGAATCATCATTATAATACACTTGATTCAC